TTATTATACAAGAACGAGTTTGATCATGAGATATCCGGCTTGACTCGAATCAAATAACACGTTAGAGGAAATATATATTTTTTTAATATATTACACACATTTATATAGACATAAGGCAAAGAACTGTATTATAAAATAGATAAAATAAATAATAAATATGCTCTACAATAGACATAACTTTTTAGTTTTGATATTTCAAAACTGTGTTTGACATTATCTCAAATCACGAAATCACCAAATGTTGACTCAGTACTAATAGTTCTTGCAATTTCTTATTGACTCCGTGAAATTGCATATCACTCGTGCTCTTCTATTTATAATTTCTTATCACTCATCTCTTACATTCAATTCAATTAATCTCTATAATATAAAAGGAAAAGCACCAAATATTACACTTGAAGAGTGTGAAAAATTACGTGAAAAATATAACGTAGTTAGAAAGGATTATCGGATACATGTATACATTCATAATATGTATTACATATTTTATGTAGTAAGAAAGATTATGATTATAGTAAAATGTAAATATAGTATATATATAGTAAAGAAAAAAAAAACTTGGGGGGGACAATAGCCCCCCTATATTGTATCTATCCGTCCCTAGACGGTAAGATGTGTATACAGAGGGCAAGGTGGGAGAGATGGACTAGATGAATGTGTTCATGTTGCGATTATGATTTTAAGTCATATTGAATAGACTGCATGATATTCTTAATGTGAACTAGTTGGTTGGTTCACCCCAATTATTTTTCCCCCTTTTGAAGTTGAGTTGGTGGTTGTGGTAATGGAAGGGCGAGTGGGGTCATATTGATTGTGATATTGAATTGCTTTTATGCTTCTGCTTATCGTGATTTTATTTGTCGAACTCGTATGATATATTTTGGAGAGTTTGTTTTGGATCAAGAGTTCGAATTGGTATGCTTAAACTGAAACTTGGATATTTTGATATTATTTATCGTCTTGGTGGAGTTGAATTGATTATGAATTCGAACTGTTTTGCAGAACTTGAAATTGGGTAGTGATTTGAGTATTTAAAAATTATTAGAATATATCTATGTGATTTTTCTTGGGTGTTTTGGAGAATAGGTTTCGATTCTGAATTGATATGATATGCCTTATTTGAATTTCTTGTTTTTAGCTAAATATTATGATGTTGTCTTCGTTTCTTAGTGATGAGCATGCCATATTATGTCTGAATCGAATATGTGATTAAGTGATAATTTGGGATGGTTTAATTCCAATGACTTGAACTAGTACTTAAGTTAATATGTCGAATTTTAATTGAGTAATGCCCGTTAATTATTTTTCAATTTCAAATGATTTGTGAAAACTTTACTCGGTTTTTTGGAAAATTCCTTACATTTTTTTTTTTTTCAAAATAACAAGGCGTTACAAATGTTATGTTGTTGTTTTGTTGACAACCAACATCTTCTTTGTTGTTTTTTATAAAATATATTATTATTATTATTTTAAGTTGCAATAACAAACTTTTTTTGTTGCTTTTTAGATAATTTAATTGTTATGTTTATGTATAACTTATTGATTAATTCTTTTTTTTTTTCTTTCTTCCATGTGTTTTTTTTATGCATTATATTTGAAAAAGAAGAAGAAGAAAGTGAAAAGGAAAAGAAAGAATGTGAAGAAACAAAGAGAAGGAAAAGAGGTAAAAGATAAAGATGTTAATTTTTTTGGATAAGAATAAGTTTCTTTTTATTTTGGATTTTTTTAAACTAGTTGGAATGAAATTTGTAATTTTGGAATTAAATGTACTTTGTCATTTTAATGGTTTTATTTATTTATTTAATTATTTTTTAAGTAGGACATTATGTACTTTGGCCTCGAACATGAGTTTGAAGTTCTTTAGTTAAATGGAAATATTAATATGTTTGTAGGCTTTAATATATCTACAGTAAACATTTACTCGAATAGATGATACTCCGTTGGATCAGGATGACTCAGATTACACTTTTCTCCATTTTTGTTAATAGTTTGTATTACTTAAAGCTTAGTATAGAACATTTGTAAATCTTATTCTTTTGAAAGGATATAAATGAGAAATATGTTTCGGGTCTAGATTTATATTTAGTTACATAAATATTATTTTTGAAATTGTAAATAATATGTAAAGTAAAATATTTTGTGTTGACTGTAGACCGCCAATGGTTATAAGATGTGTGTAATTAAGGAAATAGAATTAGGGTTATTTATTATTCTAACAGTTTAGAGCATTAATTTTGGTAAGAATATAAAACAAACTGCAGAAAAATGAATCAACGCCATTTCACCGGCTTGTAAGCGGGTGCGACGAGGAGATTTGGATCCTCGAGCCTATTTTATTTGTGGAAGTATTTACAGGTGTGACTCATGGCCTAAAATGCACGGATAGTCGATTGACATTAAAAACGTTATGCCACCTAAAGACGTAGAGTGATGTCGCGTATATCCATGCAAGGACCGTGTTTTGAGGATGTGACAAATTACAACGGTGCTATCAGGTTTGTTAGCGGGCACTCATG